AAAGATCGACTCTAACAGCAATCCAAAAACCCATCTTGTGTCAATATTTAGGATAAAACACTTGTCATTATAACTAAATAGTATGATAGTGCATCGTAATGCCTTTGCACTCAAATTGGTGAGTATACAGGCTCTTTTTGGATGCCTTTTATTAATAAAAATTAGGGCTCACTCTGCAATGCTGGGAGTCCTGGAACTTTTTCTGTCTAAACATGCATAGGATTGAAACTTAGGTTTTAATTTCAAAATAATTTAGGTGGTAAAAGAATTCTGCTGCACTCTTTCCCCCATCTTTTAAAATAGTTTTGTTTATAATTTTCATAAAAAGTAGAATACAGGAAAAGAAAAAGAAAAAGGATACCAAGGGAACTTACACAAATATTACATATGATATCAAGATCAAAAAAAATTAACAAAATTTTAGTAATTGTTATCTTTTCAACATGCAGTTACATTAATTAATACTTAATTGAAACTTATAGGGCAATTATTCTAACTTAGAATTCTTAATACTGACTTATTTTCCATTCCTTTGGCTTTGAATTCAAAATAGTTTAGGCAATAACAGAATTATGCTGCACTCTTCCCTTCATCTTGAGTTTTTAAATGCCTTTTTATTCCATGCAGCCTTTATGAGCTGCTGGAATCTACCAGCAGCTGGAATTCTAAGTTTGATGTCGCTGCCTGTAAGTTGTTATTGATTTTACAGTGTGTGGCCAACCACAATAATGCTACATGGAAACATGCCCTGCTCTTAAAATAATTAGTAAGGAATATGTTTCTGAAAATGTGGTGACTTGAAATTCAGGGACCTCAATGTTAGGAGTCATAAAAGTATCAGTGGAGGGAGATCCAGGGCAAGCAGCCCTTCTAAATGGACAAAGGCAACAGTAAGTGTGGTCTCCGCTGAAAAGTGTGTGTGTGTGTGTGTGTGTGTGTGTGTGTGTGTGTGTGTGTGTGCGCGCGCGCTCAAGAACAACAGACAAATCTTGCTCCGAACTTGGAGAGTTATGAGCATCCAGTAGAAAGAGCATGGAGGCTCAGTTTGCTTCTGCTCTCTCCTTGCTCATCAAGATGGATAGAAGGCAGATTTGGGCCATCTGAATGTCCCCCCTTGCCAGAAGCAGAGGTAGAGGCACTGCTGGGCTGCCTTGGACGATGCAGGTGCGTCACTCTTCTCCTCCCCACCTCTGACCTTCAGAGTGCAGCCAGCACAGAAAGAATCGTGCTGGCTGCCAGGGCGGAAGAAGGGCCGCCAAGTTCCAACCTCAGAATGTTTTCCCAAGATCAAAGCCGAGGCTCGACCTATCTTATAAACCCTGAAACAATGGCAGGGAGCCATAGGATTGCATCCTAACAAAAGAATAATTTCAAAATATATTTAGGGTTAAAAATTTCAGTGTTCAGTCTCATCAGAAGCTTCAGAATTAATCCTGCATCTAGAAAAAATACACATTCACAGTTAGGGTGGTAGATTTTTAGACCCCTACCTTGAATTCCAAAAGTTTAGGGTATATAAAAGGTCCCAGAATATCACTCCTTTAAAAAATCATAATAAAGGAACTTAAAATACCCAAACATTTGCATAACCCACAACCCATAGGGTGGGATGTTTGTTCTGAAAGCATGTGACTCCCTCAGGTTTTGTATATTTATTTTCTTTTAAGTTTTTACATTTCTATACCATCCTGTAGCCAAAGTTACTGTGCCGTTAACAATGTCCTAGAAGAGCTAGTATATGGATCTTCCTATGGGTAAATTACACAACAAAACATGAGCCTCATGAAGGAAAGTGCCCTAAGATGATGCAAAGTATAAATTAATCAAAGGAAGCAAAAAAGCATGGCATGCATATATTGAAATGATTCTCTCATTATTCTATTACATATTTTAACTTAGAACTGAATACATCCATAGTGCATCCAGTACCTCCTAGAGGCTTTGTTTTTGTGCCTTTTGACATCTCTCTTTCTCCCCTTTCTCCATATTTATTTATATATCTCTTTCTCTCTCTCCCCCTTTAAACTAGGGCAAGGTTGTATGCAAACCTGATATTTGCTAGGTCTCCTTTCTGAATGCTTCCATTCTTGGCATCATTCACTCACTCTTCCGTCCTTCCTTCCGTCCTTCCTCCTTTTACATTCCATGGCTATACCTGGAGCCGTCAGATTAGCGTCCGGTGTGAGTAACCCCATGAACAAACACGGTGGCAAACACGGTGGCACTGTGAGGGTGCTGCGCTACCACTTCCTGGGGCTGCCAGGGGCAGGCCGCTGAATCAAACGATCAGAACATGAAGAAGCAGATTTTTGGAAGTGACCCCATCACCAAAATAATTTTGCTTAGGACCAACTCAACGGTGCAATATCTGATATGATGCTGTGTACATACAAGGAGAACAGCCCTCACACAATCTGACCAAAAGCAGGGGGTCATGCTTGCCCCTAAGTGTTTTGCTGCCTCAGGAGAGGTGGCGGTGCTGCTTGCTCAGCTGGCTGGGCAGCCAAGATTCAGGACAGAGGAAAGGAAGTACCCACACTGGAGGCATCCAGGATGCAGCTGCCCAGTCATCTGTCCAGGGTGCTTTAACTGGAGTCCTGCACTGAGCAGGGTTGCACTCTAGGATCTTACACGCCTCTTCCAATTCCGCTGCTCCGTGATTCTACCTCTTCATACAGTTCCTTGTTAAACTGTGGGATTCATTTCCGCAAGGTGTAGTGATGGCATCCCTTTGGCCAGCCTTAAAAGGAGACAACAGTGGAACCAGCTGCCTAGAGAGGTGGTGGGCTCCCCCACCCTAGACACATTCAAAAAGAAACTGGACAGTCATCTGAGTGGGATGGTGTAAATTGGTGTCCTGCAACACCAGGGGGCTGGACTCAAGGGCCTTCATGGCCCCTTCCAACTCTACTATTGTATGATTCTATGACTGGGCAAAACCATGGAGGAGAAGGTTATCACGGGCTACTAGCCCTGATGGCTCTCTGCTACCTCCAATACTAGAGGCAGGATGCCTGCATGCAGCAGTTGCTGGGGAACTTGGCTGGGATGCTGCTGCTGCTGCACTCATGGCCTGTTTGTGGATTCGGCAAGCAGCTGGTTGGCCACTGGGCGAACAGAATGCTGGAGCAGGTCAACCTTTGGCCTGAGCCAGCACAGTTCTTGTCATGTTCGTACAGCCCAGCTACCTGCCTGGCCAGCTGGCTAGCCACTCCCGCACGTGTTTGGCCAATTGGCCCAGCTTGGCACTCACACCTGCCTACCCACCTGCTCCAGTCTTGTGCCTCAGCTGGGAGGCTCTTGCAGGAAGTTGGCCAAGCTATTCCTGTTAGCTGTTCTGTTAGAGGCACTTCACAGCAGGGGCACAAACCAAGGTGAGTGAACAGGCAACCGAGCAGCCAGCTAGACAGGCCGGCCGGCTGGCTGAGCCACTGAGAGCAGCCAGCCCGCCAAGCACATAGGGACTGCCATCAACTGCAGTCAAAATGATGGCAGCTGGTGGTGACGCCAGAGCTTTAGAGAGCCCTGCTAATTTCTCTCTTGCTGTGGCAAATGCCACAGGAGAAAGAGGTTGGCTGGGTTCTCCAGAGCACCCCTTGGGGTGCTGTTCTCCCTGCTGAACTGCCTGGTGCTGGCACCTCAGCCTTCACAATGGTGGGGCCGGCCCTGGCAGGGTATTGCCAGGCCTGGGCACACCGAGCTGAGTCTGTGTCTGCAAGAACTAAGTGTCCATTGGTGCCAATAGAAGGTTTGCTTCTTAGTTTAATGCCATGCAGGGAGTGCACTTTGAGAGGATTTGCAGCTGGGGAGAGAAGAGCTTATCCCACTTTTGCACATGCTGCAGCCCGTCCCCACCTGATAAAGTATCTTTTGATTGGTGTTCAGGGAAGGTCTTTCTTTTCTTTTTGCTATGCGGTGAGCGGGAAGGCTTTCCAGGAGGTCACAATGGGGGAGGGAAGGTTTACCCTTGCTCCCCTGTGTCGCCCAGCCCCCAAAAAACTACACGTGACATTGAATCCGACTGATACCAATACAAAGATTGCGCATTTAAGCACTTCGCACACTCCCGACCCAAAGCATCCACAGAAAAAAAGCGCACCTGACTTAGTCAGATAAATGTACCATATTGGACTGAAGTCATTTCAGATTTCCTGCAAGAAAGCCGCGTCCAGTGGCCTGTTGCTGAAAGAGGCCTACCTCAGCCAGCACCCAGCAGCTGAATGAAACCTGGGAGAGAGCCAAGGCAAGGCAGCAGCTGACTCACAGATAGTGGGCTCGGCAACAGCTGCATTCCTGAGGTGAGTCATCCAGTGAGAGGGAGTGAGGCAAAGGGGAAGGGAAGGCCAGCGCCCAGCTACTCCAGGGAAAGGTGCGCTTGAAGAGAGCCACAGAGGCAGATGGATTATGGGAGATGGGGGAGGCAGTATGCCTTCATCCCAGCGTCGAAGCACAAGGGCATTTCATCATGGCAGAATCGCTTGGCCAGGCCTTTGTGGTTTCCAAAATTCCACGTTGTGCCCTTGAGTTCTTTCAGAGCCCAGCAAGCAACAGGAGAGAAGTGGGGCACTTGTCTGCCTCGGTCGGAAACTTTATTGGAGCCCGTGTTGGGTGGAGCGGGGGGGGGGAGCAAAAGGTGATTGCCCTTTGCATTTGCACCCACCACTCTAAAGCCAACACCACTTGTGACATGGAATTGCTTTACTATTTATGTAAGCCACCCAGAGAACTTTGCTGTGGAGTGGCCTACAAGTGCTGTGAATGAACGAACATGTTTCTTGTTCAATTTTGAATATTTATAATCCGGCTAGACAAAACTCGAGGCGCCACAATCGACACAGAGGGCAAGGCGACAAGAACAAAGGAAGGGAAGCAGGGGGCGGGGCCTCATCCGGGAGGGGAGGGGCAACGGCATCAGCCCGAGCGGACGGGAGGCGAGAGGCGGGCCCGAAACGAGCCTCCAAGGCCATAAATGGGGTTCTTCGCCAAAGACGTGCCGCAGTCCTGAGCGGTAGAAGTGCAGGGAGGAGGCTGTGCCCTCGGTCTCGGCGTGGTTGGCAGAGCCGCTAGGGTTGCGGTTGCTCCAGCAGCGGCGCCGGTGACAGCCTCAGGATGAAGGGCCCGGCAGCAGCCCCTGCGTCGTCGGAAGTGATCCGCGAGGGCGAGCTGGAGAAGCGCAGCGACAGCCTGTTCCAGCTGTGGAAAAAGAAGCAGGTGGTGCTGAGCAAGGACAGTCTGAGCCTCTCGTCGCCCGAGGGCGGCGGCAAGGGCCGCGCCAAGGAGCTGCGCTTCGGCGCCATCCAGAAGGTGGACTGCGTGGAGCGCACCGGCAAATACGTCTACTTCACCATCGTCACGACGGACCGCAAGGAGATCGACTTTCGGTGCCCGGGCGAGAGCTGCTGGAACGCCTCCATCACGCTGGCGCTCATCGACTTCCAGAACAAGCGCGCCATCCAGGACTTTAAGAGCCGCCAGGAGGCCGCCGAGGAGGCGGCCGCCGGCACCCGCGACAGGCGCCTCGCCCGCGCCCCCTGAGCCCGCAGCCGGCCGCAGCCCGGCCCCACCGACCAAAGGTGAGCAGGCGAACGCGGCGGTCCGCCGACGGGCTCAGGACGGGCTCGCCCGCGCTTTTCGCGGCAAAGTTCAGTGAGCCAAGGAAGGCTGCGTGCGAGCGCTCTGCCGGCTGAGAAGGCTCCTCGGTGGGACCACGTGCGGTGCCTACGGGGGCCGCGGACCCCCGACTTATTGGTTGATGTGGGGCTCTAGTATCAATCGCGTGCGTTTCTTAGCAAATTCGGATTTGGGTATGGCTGCTCAGACTTGGTTGGTTTTGTGTATCTGCAATCGGTCTAGGGATTGAGAATAATTGAAACTTCACTTGGGAGCCCAGTGCAGCAATGGTACAGGAGTGTTTGAAAGTGTGTGGATGGCGTGTCTGGGGGAGCGGCGGGGTGCTAGTAGGGCCCCCAGCTTGATTTATGTCATGGCATGCTGATGTCTTAGCCTAAAAGAGTGGAGTGGTGCTTCTCTTGCTCTTCGCTGAGACTCCCTCACTGGCTGTTGCCAGAGGGGCACCTGCCTGCCTTTTAGCTGGCTATTCTCGTGAAAGGACACGTGCACAAGTGAGGGATCTGCCAGGTGCAAAAGAGTAGGACTCACATGCCCAACCAGTGCCAGACAAGCTGGACAAGACTTGCTGGTCTGCAGTGTTTCTCTGATTTGCAGAAAATCCTTTTTTCTAATGTAATAAGTGTGTGGTCCTATGGGTTGCACCCTTGATGCTCACGCTCCTAAACTCAGAGGTGTATAAACATCCCATGCTGAACAAGAGGAGCAGTAGGAGTGATCTTTGTCTTCCCAGCCTCACACCCTGCATTTTTGCCCAACAGACTCTTTGGCAAAAGCATTGCAGAAGAAAAGGGTGATGGAGGCACGAGGTAGCTCTTATCCTGCTCTCCCCTGCCTCCATCCCAGCCCTCCCCCCAAAATGCCCCTTTTATCACCCTCCACGTCTGCGTTCCCACGCAGGGAGCTGCGGGTGCTGTTCTTTCCATGCTGGCTGGGAGGGGAGGAGCTCTGGTTGCCAGCACAGGGGTCAGAGAGCTGTCTCCAATCCTACAGCTGGGAAGCCACTATGTCCTGCGCCCCCTCAGATGCTTTCTAGGTGCCATGGGATTGCTCCCTCCATTATAGTGGAGATGTTCAGGGGAAGGATGCCCCCGTGCTGTTATAGAGCCATCTTCCTGCCTCATTCATGGAATGTTACAGGGGCCTTTGCAAGCCTGCCATGTTTTCCCACTGCTGCCTCCATTTTTTCTTCTACCAGCAAAAATCCATTGGGGAGGAGGGGAAAAAAGATGGAGTAGCTATACAAAGCTTTCTTGCCTTTTGATTGGTGGAGCAGGACCACCTGCCTTGCCCAGTTTGAAAGCACCCATTAGAGTGGTCCATTGGAAAAACCCACTTGGTTATGCCTTTGGATCACCTGGATAGTCATTCACTAAGATTTTGGGAAGTGAGGCAAGTTTAGGTGCTGAATATCTAGAGCTGAAGGCAGTGCCTGGTTCTAGTCCCATCAGATCCCACTGAGCATATTGGTTGTGGATGATGGGACTTGTCATCCAGCATACCTGGAGGGTACCAGATTGGGGCAGGTTCTTTGCAGATTGAAGGTCTGTGACAGATATTATCAATAATTCTACCACTCTCACCCATAGTCTTAAGTGTGCTTCTGGCTCAGAAAAAATTATTGTGCAGAACATATGAGTCAAAGAAAATGCAGTGGTTCTTTTGTAGAAAACTTGCTTTGGGCAGAACTTTAAAAGCAGCCATGTTAGCTTTATTTGTGAAATGCTCACTCTCCTCCATTGTGTTGACTTCTTCCTCTCTTTTTCTTCTCTAGAACTCTGGATGACAAACAAGATAAAGGATCTTGGACAGTGATATGATTGCACCAGAGCAAGATACTGATGAAGGAAAGCAAAGACAGGTGCCAGAGGATGCTAGATTTCCTCAGATTTGATGAAGCTGCTGAGCAGAAAAGGAACCTTTTTTGTTGAAAGACAAACCAAAGACACTCTGAAAAAACCAAGTCTGGATTACCAAAGAGGAAGTCCAGCTTGTAAACCACTATTTCATTTTTATTTATACAGTAAAAATAGTTTTAATTATTTCTAGGATATGTATTTTGTATTTATTTTTGATGACTGTTTTTAAATAGCTTTCTTAGCATTGCTATTGTTAGCCATTCCAAATAAATTATGTGAAATGCTCACTTTGTTTTCCACATATCTGAAGTGAATCTTTAGCAGCTCTAAATTTCTGAGACTGCTCTCTCAAAATCTGACATAGCAACAAGATGTGATTATCCAGACAAATCTGTCAGCAGGAAATGCTGCCCTAATCAATACCTATTGAAATCTGATCCAAATCTGCAAGCAGAAATGGGCTTCTACCTGCATATCTGCCCTTGTAAAAGGGCAGGAGAGGCATGCAGGTCACACGTACCTGTGGGCTGGGGGGCTACTGATGCACATCATTAAAGCCTGAGGCTCTTGTGGGCTTTTAGATTATGGGAAAGGTCTACTCTGAGTGTGCTCACCCGAGGCTGCTCTTAGCAAGCTGCACCAATGCAGCGGTGTGCATAAGAATCTGAGAAGGTCCTGCTGGGTCAGACCCAAGGCCTATCTAGTCCAGTATTCTGTCCTCACAAAGACCCATGAGAAGCCCATAAACAGGATCACAGTGCAAACAGCAGCCTTTTCAACGGGTGTTGATAGCTTTATGATCAGAGGCATGGTGTCCCTCATGTAGTAGCCGCTGATCGCCTTATCCACCATGTGTCTTTTGGCTCCTTCTTAAAGCCATCAAGGTAGTGGCAGCTGCATCTTGGTTATGTTCAAGAGTGTAAAAAGTTCTCCACAGCCTTGTGGGGTGGGGATAATGGGAGTTGTAGTCTAGCTCCGGGTTGGGGAGGACATTAGCATGTCAGGGATTACTGAGAATCTCAGCACTATCCCCAGAGTACAATTGGGCCAGGAAGGTAGACCAATAGGTCAGATGAACCATTTTTCCCATTGAAGGGACTTACATGCTAATTACTCTGTCAAAGGCAACCTAAAGTCAGTCCCTTTCCAGGTAGTGCTTTGTTCTTTGGTGTCACACTAGGGAAGACAAAAGCAAGCTTGTCCTGGAAGGATGTTACAAAGTCCTGTAGGTTTGCCCATGTCCTGGGTGATCAGAAACCAGCAGGTGGCATCTCCATATGTCTTAAGTTTCCATTGTTCCACTAATGGAAATAGCCTGGCTCAAGCAGATAGAAGCATTTCAGATTGCTGAATTTAATTCAGACAGCTTATTCCAGGATATTCCTAGCCTGTTCTCAGGCTCAGTCTCCTTTTATCTAAGCTGAATAGACAGAGTCCTCCAATCCCTTTCTTGGAAGAATTTCATTTGCTTCCATGCAGACATCTGCCATATTTCCTACCTCATGTGTTTGATGTATGCATGGAAGATTGAACAATTCTAGATTCTCCTGTTTTACACTAATTGATTATTAAGTGTTTTGAGCTGTTCCATATTCAATTCATACATTTGGGCTAGATCCAGGATTTGCTTTCGGCATTCTTCAGCCAGCCCCACGGCACACCACAGCTCACCCCATTCCGCAGGGTCTCCTGTTACGCTTAACTCACTTTAGGCAAGATGATAGCTTGATAACCGAGAGGCAGCATGCTGCAGTGGTTAAAGCACTGGACCAGGACTGGGCTGATCTGGGTTTTAGTCCCCACTCAATTCATTGCATGATTTTGGGCCAGTCGTTATCTCTCAGCCTAACCTACTTCAGAAGATTCTGAGGCTAAAATGGAGAGGGGGCAGAAGATGTAAGCCACCTTGGGTTCTTTGTAAGGAAATAAACAGCATTTTCAAGAGGCAAAGAAATCCAGTTCCATAGCCTAGATGATCCAGCTTAAATCTCAATCCAGCTCCTTGAGCAAAATTTGGAACCAAATAATCTTTTAACAAAGGTACACAAATTTTCTGTAGTGTTTTCTTTGGTGAGTTCCCCTGTGGTTTGGTTCAGAGATCAGTTTGCAAAGAGTTATTGCTGAGCTGACCCTTGTACATTGTTCTTACTTCCATAATGATCCAACCATATGTACAACTGGCTTGGTCTTGATTCTGCAATGCCATCCTGATCAGCCCTACATTTGGTTGTGGTTCAGGTATTGGCTTCTCGAGAGGATTTTTTTTCTCAAGAAATGCAAACAGTGGGTGATGCTTATTAACAGTTGCAAGAATGAAATCCCAGATCTTTCATCCTTATGCACATACCACCCTTTAAGTCTTGGTAAGTAGAGGATCACAGGCAATTATCCCCAGCATGGCACCTGAGGAGGAAGAGGCAGGGAAAGGTAAGGTTGTCCCCCAGCTAAAGAACCATAGAAACAGAATGAGTCAGAAGGGATCTCCTGGGCCATCTAGTCTGATCCCCGACTCCAGCTGGCTCCACTCATGACATGCCTACCATGTGCATGTCCAGCCTATCCTTAAATACCCTCACAGTTGAGGCTTTAACCACCTCCCATATAAGCCCATTCCATACCCCTGAGGTCCTAACCATCAGGAAGTACTTCCTGGCATCCACCCTAAATCTTGGTTCCCTGAGCTTTGCTCCATTGGAACGCATCCTGCCCTCCACTGCAGGGGAAAAAAGATCATGATTCACCTCTGTGTGGGACCTCCTCACAGGTATGTGTCTGTCACTAGCAGGTCCCCGCTGAGTCTCCTCCTCAAGGGTGAAAAGACCCAGCTCCCTCAGTCTCTCCTAGTATGACCTACCCTGCAAACCAGCCACCGTCCTAGCGGCCCTTCACTGCACTGATTCCAACCTGATTCCACTGATTCCAACTAAAATGTGGTTTAGAAGGCAGTTAAAGTAAATGCTAATGAATTAAGGAATTCTTGCCAACAAGTTTTATTTCTATAGAGTTTAAAAAACAGAGTTTGCAAAGGGGCACATGGAACACGTCATGCCTCATATCACTCATTGTGACAGGAAATGGGCATTACTCAGGTCATTTCAACAGCTGAGGAAGACCCACAACAGAAGAGCAGACAACAGAGGGTGAAAAGCTCTGACTGGCAGCCCTTCTCACCTCTCTCGTGATTCTTGCAAACCCTTTGGAATTAAAATCAGTTCTTCTTTGCAACACCCAACAAGTTACCTATTTGACCTTTGAGACCCAGTGCCAATGCTTTGTCACAGAAACATCATTCAACAAGCCAAGTGAATTATGGCCTGACTGGCCTCCAGTTAGACCTAGAACAAGGCCCAGCCTTCATTTGTGCCTAGGAGAGAGCCCTGGAAGCAGAGCAGGCTCCGATTCGCCTTATCAAAGCCCCTTTGAGAGGAAGCCTTGATGAATTCCAGATGCCACTTGCAAACCCTCCCCCAGCCCTTTCCTTGCTTCGGAGCTGCAGGCATGCACTCAACCACTGGGGAAGCCCAAGCGTGTCCGGGCCACGGCTCATTCATCCGCCTACCAGAGCAAAGGATCAGAGAGCTGCATGTTACATATGATCCCCAGAAGCAACTGCTGCATCAGACCGACTGTGGGAAATTATAGCCTTCAGATATTGAGTAATGAAAATCTGAATGAGACACTGAGATAGAATGAGGGTTATGTATCTTTTTCATTTTCCTTGTAACTCCAAAAAAACTAAGAACAAAGGAAAATGATATGAGTATGGAGAGACAGCTTTCATTCCAGAAAATGATGAAGTATAGAATGTATTGGGTTGGATCCAGGATCTCCCAGCCATAAGAAGACAACCTGCTAGGAGAGGAAGGGCTCAGTTGACACAAGATCCCATCACCTGATTTTGGGAGATTCTCTCCTCCCTTCCACATAATGGCTCTTTCCACCCACCAAGGTCTCTTGTTTGTTTGTTTGTTTGAAGAAGGGGTGTCCAACTTGTGGCCTGTGGGCCACAGGTGGCTCAGAATGGCTCTGAATGGGGCAACACAAGATCATAAACTTACTTAAAACTTTATGAGATTTTTTTGTTTTGTTTTTTGGTAACTTGATTGCGCAGTTCTCAAGCATGAACTTTGTAGATGGCAACCTCATGCCACAATGTCACATAAATTAAATGTATGCATGCTCTCGCTATTTGAACATATTTGTGGTTTTATGGTGGTGTGAGGCTTCCAGTGAGTTATCTTCCAAGTGCAGGCAGTTGAATTGACACCATCAGATGTTACATGTGCTCATGGTGACTTGGTAAGTGAAACACAGCTGATATCAATAGTATTTCAACCTACCATTAAACAATTTTATGCATTTTGACACATTGGCTAAACACAGTCCTGTGAACAGTGAAAAATATGCAGCCTTGCTTTTTGATTGGATACAAGAATTTGAAAGCAGATTTCAAGATTTCTGGGAAAATAAGCATTATTTTTGGATATTTGCAGCTCCATTTTCAGTCAACATAAATATGTTACCTGTCAATTTTCAAATGGAATGCACAGAGCTGCCATCTGACATTCAACTTAAAGAATACATTGATCATGGACTTTTATAGGTCCAGTCATCCCAGAGACAAATATCCTTAGCTTCACAATCATGCCTTTTTCATGTATTCACTTTTTGGGGGCACCTACATTTGAGAGCAACTATTTTCAAGAATGAAGCATACTAAGAGTAAAATTAGAACCAAAATATCTGATGAGCACCTTGAGAACTCACTGAGAATTGCACCTACTTCCATACTGATGCACTAGTTTCTCAAATGCAATGTCAAACATCCCACTAGTTTTATGTTGCCCTCTTTTCTTTTACTTTTATAATAAAAATATCAAAAATCAGTGAAGTTTTATTACTTAGATATGTTCGTTTTCTGTACTAGTGATTGCAAACTTGGGCCTTGCTTAAGGATTTTAAAAGACTCTCCAAATGGAGTGCCACATAATTAGGATTATTATGTGAGGACGTTTTTGCTTATCTGTGGTAGCAGATATCACGAAAATTAAGCACATACCTTTTTTTTGCTCATCATCTTTCATTAGTGTCTCTGTATTTAATGTGTAGCCCAAGACAATTTTCTTCTTTCAGTGTGGCCCAGAGAAGCCAAAAGGTTGGACACCCCTGGTCTAAAGCATTTCTATACTGCTAGATTCACATCGCGCTCTCTGAAAAGTTTGCAAATTGTTTTGCTGACCAACATGGGAAGTCACCCTCAGGGGTTACGCACAGGTTATCACTGTAC